TCTTACGTCATCAATCCGCTGCGTTTGCACACAGTGTGGTCACGCAATCAGCGCATGCATGGCGTAGCTCTGTAAACCAACCTGTGCACGTGCAGGGGAATCCTTAAAAAGCCGTTCACAGACTCCTCTCCTCTCTTCTCCCTGCTCTCTCCTCCCCCCACTCTCTCCCTCCTGCATGTGTGTCCCCCCCCAGGCCTGGCCACGCTTTCTTCTGACCCCCCCCCCCAAAGCTCTGATACTGGGTTTTGTCGTGTCTCATGACCTTTTCGCCCGGTAACAACGCCGCTTATATTTTTAAAACAACGAACACCACCTCCCTGCTGAAGGTCAGGCTGTTAATCAGCCTTAAAATTGAAGAGATCGCCCTAGATTATGTGGGTGGGAACAGTGTTATCACAAGGGTCCTTAAAAGACAGTAGAAGGGACCCAGGGAGATGGCTCAGTTTGTGAACCGATGGCTGTGCATGCCTGAGGACCTGAGTTCAGTCCTTAGCACCCCCAAAAAAGACAGGCACATCCACACATGCCTGTAATTCCAGCACGGGGAGGTGGAGACAGGAGACTCCTTGGGGTCTGCGGGCCAGCCGCTCTCGTGGAATTGGTGAGATTCGGGGTCTGTGAGAGATCCAGTCTCAAAGAGTAGATGGAGAGTGGGTGAGGAAGACATCCCAGGTAGACCTCTGGCCTCCTTATGTACACACACATGAACATGTGCACACACATGAACATGCACACACAAGAGTCAATGTTAGGGGAACAGGGCATGAAAGGGCTTGGGTAGCCACTACTGCTGGCTTTGGAGATGGAAGAGGGTGAGAATTGAGGACTGTGATTCTGGGAAAAAAAAAAAAATCAAGAACACAGATTCTCCCCTAGTCTTCAGAAGGGCCGGTCCTGTCAACGCCTTGGCGTCAGCCTGGTGAGAAGCATTTTACACTTTTTGAAATCCAGAGCTGTGAGATAATAAAATACGTGTTGCTTGAAGTCATTTTGCCCGCTGTAATGTCACAGCAGCCACAGGACGCTGTGCCACCAGGGCCCCCTGGGTCCTTGTCTTTCAGAGGTTGCCCCCACCCTCCGCTTTCTCCGCTGGAGGGGCCCGGTGGGGTCTTTGCACAGGGGGCGTGGGGGAGGGGAGGGGCTTGCACAGTCAGCGGGGAAGGAGAGAGTCTAGGGAGCAGGAATTAACTTTGAATGCACCCCAGCTGCCCGCTCCAGTGCTCAGGCACCAGGACCAGGAGCTGCTGAGCCAGGACAGAGTGGCGTGGGGGCGCTCTCCAGGGTAACACCCGCAGAGCGTCCTCCCCAGGGCAAGGCCAACTGGATCCACACTCTGAAGTGCTTCTCTTTTCCCCTAGGCCTACAACTGAACTTGCACAAAGCCAGAGCCAAGTGCTGCAATCCGTCGTCATTTCAGGGCGGCTTTTATTTCCTGAGTTTGCTACGGAAATAATAGGGGGAGGGAAAAAACCCTGAAAAACCCAAGCCTTCTATTTGAATTGGGATTTGCTCTTTTTTAATCAGGCAACTTGAACCAGACAAAGGAGGAAAGGAATATAAACTGTGCCTTTGAGCCCACACGCCACCTCCGACCAGCCTGGAGTTACTCTACATTTGATGACCAGGCTTAAAAGTAACGAAATGGTCACACACTTACAGTTGAACCCCAGTGTCCTACTTACCCTTATGGAAGCCACTGCTGGTCCCTGCCCACCCCCAGGGTCAATGCCAGCCTCTGGCTTTGCTATTTATAGGGTGCTTGCATTCGCTGTTCTGTCTGCCCCCCCCCCCCGATCTCTGTGGGTCCTTTATAACACCTCGATTTACGTGTTGAGAAACATTCCATACGTAACATCCTCCTGTACCTCGCTCTCCTGTCCTCCAGCTCCCCACTGTTTCCGAGAGTCATCCTAATGAGCAGATGGCTAATGACAGACATAGCCGAGGCTCCTTTCTAAGGGTGAATACTCGATTTTGTGGAACACCGTCATTTGTTTGTCCAGCCTTACATCCACAGGCGGTCAGGTTACCTCTAGTTTTTTCTTTTTTTAAATCTTTTATTTTTCTGTTTTCTTTTTTTTTTTTTTAAAGATTTATTTATTTATTATGTATACAGCATGTATGACTGCAGTCCAGAAGAGGGCACCAGATCTCATTACAGATGGTTGTGAGCCACCACGTGGTTGCTGGGAATTGAACGCAGGACCTCTGGAAGAGCAGCCAGTGCTCTTAACCTCTGAGCCATCTCTCCAGCCCTAGTTTGGTGATCCTTGGGCATGTGGGGAGGCTGTGACAGAGCTCCTCCCAAGTACGGCCTCAGGGAGGAAGCTGCTGTCAGAGGGTGGCTGGCCACCACCGGTCACTACACCTCTATAGACACTACTCTTCCCAGAGTCCCGCTAGTGGGGGATGGAAGTGTCCCTTAGCCATCCTGACCATCCCGTTCTGGCGCCTGCCTTCTGGTGATGGCGAATGTGTCTCACCTGTCTCTCTCAGGCTGTGACTGCACACAACTCAATCGCTGCATCCTGGACATCCAGGGAGGGAACGATGGACCCTACACAGCTGTGGGAGTCCAGGAGTCTTGGGTCCTAGGCATCTGTCACGTCACATGTCAAGACATGGTCAGACGCAAACTCTGCAGCCTGCCTTTAGAGACTAAAAGATAGCTCAAATCACGTTGTGTGATAAATACCAGCCAGCCTAACAGAGGGCAGGATAATGCTCGTTTGCCTGTATTCCTTCTTTGAGCCTGATAACATCCCCATAAGAAAGAGTAGGATTGCCGGGCGGTGGTGGCGCACGCCTTTAATCCCAGCACTCGGGAGGCAGAGCCAGGCGGATCTTTGTGAGTTCGAGGCCAGCCTGGTCTCCAAAGTGAGTTCCAGGAAAGGCGCAAAGCTACACAGAGAAACCCTGTCTCGAAAAACCAAAAAAAAAAAGAAAAAAAGAAAAAGAAAAAAGAAAAGAAAGAGTAGGATCCTACTGTCCCACTTTACAGATTTAAAAAAAGAATACAAAGCTCTGATTTGTGGATGGGCATTAGAGCCGGGACTCTGTGTGTGCTGGGGACACATGAGGAGCTTCTATGCCATTGCTTCCGTCTCCTGCCGTGATCCTCTGGCAGCCGAGGTCTCATCAGATCATTTTCTTTCCCAGAGAGGTGCAGAGCCAGCTGTTAGCCACCAGAGTTGCCTAGAATAGCATCTCAGCACTGGCACCTAACAGGTCCGTAACCTTGGGCAAGGTCCCTCCTCTCTCGGCCTTGTCCTTCTAACTGAGGCTGTAGCACGGACCTCTCAGAAAGGCTATGTGAGCTGGCTGTGTCACAACGCACTGTGTGACACACAGGAAACGCCTGAGCGCTGACTCTGATGGTGAAGCCAGTGAGTGTAACCACGGAGGAGAAAACTACCATGGTGCCAGGAACAGTAGTTTAGGACACTGGTCTGGGGAGGCAGCCATCCGCATAGCCTAAAAAGGGCTGCATCTACGAGAGTCCAGGTCTTGGTATCCCAGCAGGAAACTAAAGAAGCCACAGCCTGGGGTGGACAGTAGACCTGCAGGGTCATCTACAGGCCTCTTGAAGGCTCTTACAAATTCTCACTCTCCTCTTTCTCCTAGTTGGAAAGTTTTAAAGAAACAGGGGGGGGGCGCGGTGGGGGGGGGCGTTACTACAACGTGCTACCACGGCAGACAGTTGAGCTGGCCTAGTTCCATACCAGGCAAGTTGGATGGAGGGAACACAGGGGAAGGAGAGAGGGACCAATTGTTTATTAGTGACCTATTTGCCATTTCCGTCCCTCCCAGTGGCCTTACCTATGATTGAGAGGCCACTAGCACCAAGATTCAATGTCAAGAAGTCACCCGGCCCCAGAAGCAACCCATTCCCAGGAAGAAGCATTATGGAGTCTGCTCCCACCCCACATCTCTGTAGCCGGGTGAACTCGAAGCTTGGGAAGCCTCCAGGTAGAAGGGAGCTAAGGACAACCACCTTGCCGGCCTCACAGAACCCTAACAGAAACAGGTAACACATCTGACTGTGCTTTGCAAACCACCAAGTAAATGGCTGTTGCTGTATGAACGGCACTGTGCTGCTCCAGCCTTTCAGGACAGGAAATTTGACTGTGGAGATGAGAGAGATCTGTGTCCCTTAGGTCACCTTTGCTGGGAGAGCTGGTTCACTACACCATCACGGGCCAACCTAGAACTCTCTGGAGTCCACAGCTTTCTCCCAAATTATGTCTATAATGGTGGCCTCTAAACTTCCTGTTCCCTGGGGTGCAGCGTTCCTCCGTAAGGACAACCAGAGACGGCTGGTGATGGGAAAAGCCAGGTGTCTCTGGAGGTGGAGCTCCAATACCAGCTCTGTTTCTCACTAGCTGAGTGACCTTGGGGCAAGTCACGTGTTCTCTCCGAGCCTTAGTTAAGCTATCTGTATGAGAAGAGGCTACGCTCAGCGCTGTCGTAGGAAGTACATGGGACCTCACATCTATGAGGCCGTTATGACTTCAACAAATGGTAGCTTCATTTCTGTCACTCTGGGTCCCCCAAATCCCCATCCATGAACGGGGCCAATGGCTGTCCCTTGACAAGAGCTGCCCAGACAGATGAAGGATGATGGGGTTTGAAGCAAGCAAACAAGCACAAGATGAACCCATTGTGGTCTCCATGGGGCAAGACCAAGGTTTGTTTATTCCCCAGCAAAGGTTCAGTTCGTTGCAGTGTCTGGCACACTCAAGGGTGCCCTCAGAAAACATCTGTGGAAGCTGGAAAGAGATGGTTCGGCAGTTAAGAGCACATGCTGCTATTTCAGAGGACGCAAGTTTGATCCCCAGCAACCACATCAGGTGACTCACAAGAGCCTGTAACTCCACTCTGCACATATCTACACAAAGACACACACACACACACACACACACACACACACTTAAAAATAATAAGAATAAATATTAAAAAAAAAAAGTTGGCCTAAATAAATGAAGCAAGTACTCTCAAAATGGTATGTACAGAGTTCTTTAACATCTCTAGGCCTTGTCCTCCTCATCTGTGAAATGGGCATATTCAGGCTTACCTGGGAGGGCAGCTATGGAAACTACTCCAAACACCTCCTGCCCTGGGCATGCCCTCTCCCTGGGCAGACACCACTGGAGGCAGCTGGGTAATTAAGAGCAATGTTTACTGAGCGATACAGGACTGAGTACTAGGAAGGGTTTACAAGGATGGAAATGCACCCCACCCGCCGGACCACCACCCCCCCAACACCCAGAGCCTACAGTACTTAGGATTAGAATGGCTGTAACTGGTGGGTGGATGTCCGTAACAACAGATCATAGCATATGTGTACTGTGTCACATCAAGTGATTATAGAAATCCATATATATATTGCTCGTATAAAATCTTCTTTTTTTTGTAAAAAATATTAAAAAAAAAAAAAAAAAGAAAGTATAAAAAAAAAACATGTGCAGTTGGAAGCCCCGCCAGGACAGCCGGTCTGTAAACATTCATCGATTGAGTGTGTGCTTTGGAAGGGCGCCCGCGCCTCAGTGCCACAGCAGACTCCAGCAGGGCCACCAGGCTGTGCCACCTGGGCAGGGCCACCACAGCCCACACAGTGCACCCCTTTCCATCGGTCTTGGGCAGGACTGGGGAAGATGGACTGGAGTCCACGCTGAGTTCCGTCCTCGGCCACACTGTGTTTGTGACGCATGGCTTTTCTTGGCTGCTCGGTCGTCCCTGGGGTGGGAGTCTTGGCAGAGAGGCCAGAGGAGTGCCTGAGGAGGCCACCTGGTTGGGCATCTCCCTGGCTGAGGTGGCCATCAAGCTGAGCCTTGGAGTGGGACAGCCCTTACCTGCGGGTCAACTTTGGTCTCATCGCTTGGTCCCTCTGGTTTCTTCAGTCCACTCTTGCTCTTGCGCGCGTCTGGGCTGAGTTTCAGAAAAGGGCCAGCTGGAGGCCAGTTATACTAAGCCTCTTCGTAAGAGTTTGTCGTGCGCCCCGGAGGGGGCCTCCATCACCTCACTCCTCTTCTCCTTTTGCTCCGCCCCCCTCCCCTCCTCCTCTGACGCCTCCTCCAGGCCTGCAGTCACTTCTTGTCCAGCTGCTCCAGCAGCGGGTTGCCTTCGGACTCGGGCGTCCTGACGCTGTCCGTGCGCACGATGCAGGTGGGGCGGTGGCGGTTGAGCATCAGGATGAGCTGTTGCCGCTCCAGCTTCAGCTCCTCTATCTGGGTCTTCAGCTCTGCGTTCATGAGCTCCAGCCGCTCTGACTCCTGTGCGGACAGAGACACACACTGTCACTGCCGGCCTGCTCCTTAGAAGTAGCCAGGCACCAAAAAAAAAAAAAAA